GTCTCCTTTGTCTGCTCGGCTGGCCTTGAGCCAGGGTGCCGGAGTGTGCCACGATCACAAAGCAGGCAGAGAAGCTACGATGGGAGGTTGGGGGGGAGTGGGGGGGAAACGACACACTCAAATGTCCCTCTTCCCATCCCCTGAAAAAAAAACACCCTATGGAAGAAACTGCATGCCTTTAAAAACAAAAGTGAACAATGCAAATAAAATAATAAAATGATGAATGGTATTTGCGATGCATTTTTGAATGTTCAGCTAAGTTTGATGTTTAATGAATGAAGTATAATAATAATGTGCCCCTTTTGTATTTTGTTATCTTCTCCAGTTCCGTGGCAGTGCCCGGAGACAGCAGAAGAGAAGAGAAAGAGCTGGAGGAGAGAGCGAAATACAAAGACCTACAAATAGAAATAGAACGACTGGGCAAAGGCAAACAAGGGTAGGACCAATAGTCATAGGCTCCTTGGGTGCCGTCCCAAAACAAAGGGAGCACCACTTGAACACCATGATCGGCATTGACAAATTTGCCATCGGTCAATTGCAAGAGGCAGCTTTACTTGGAGCTGCTTCGAGCCTGCGAAGGTATCTGTAACGCCATCAAAGACTAACTAACTTAGATCTTTGGTTAGGACTTGAACTGTTAGGGTTTTTTTTGAAAGCCCCAGACTGTGAATTGAATTCAAGATTAAATCTATAATATGAATAATGAATAGGAAAGGATAAGAAAAGAAGAGGAGGAGGAGGAGAGAAAGAGGAAGAGAAGAAGAGAAGGAGGAGGAGAAAGAAGAGAACGAGAAGAAGAAGAGGAAGAGAAGAGGAGAAGGAGGAGTGAAGGAGGGGAAGAAAGAGGAGAATGAGGAGGAGGAGGAGGAGGAGAAAGAGAAGAGGAGGAGGAAGAGAAGAAGAGGAGAAGGAGGAGTGAAGGAGAAGAAAGAGGAGAATGAGGAGGAAGAGGAGAGAAAGGAGGAGAATGAGGAGGAGAAGGAGGAGAAGGAGTGAAGGAGGAGAAGAANACTGCCAGGTTGGCAGAAGCTGGGACAAGTCACGGGAGCTCACTCCGTTACGCGCCAGCTAGGGATTCGAACCGCCGAACCGCCGACCTTTCCGACCGACAAGCTCAGCGTCTTAGCCACCGAGCCACATGTCCCCCTAATTACTAGAATAATAACAAAGAAAACCTGCTTTTTCCTCGAATCTCGTAGCATCATCGCCATTTCAACCCTCTGCATGACACGAACGAAAAGCAGGATTGACCAAGGGACTTAACTGTCCCTGTGTCCATAAAGTTAAAATGGCAAAATCAATTATTTATTTTTTTACCTGCGCTCCTTGGGTGTAGCCTAGAGAGGGGGGTCCGTAGTCATTGATCAGGTGTCGGTACTGGCCCGAGCCCGCCATACTGGTAGAAGGAGAATGAGCTTTGGAGAGAAATAAACGCAACGGATAAGATTGGGTCTCCAAAGAATGGAAACAGAAGAGAGAAATATCAGAGAAAATGCATTATCTATCGCTCTGTGGTTCAACGCTATTCCGTACTGCTTAATAGCGACATGAAACCGCAGTCTTAACTCGGAAATAAATGCAAACGCTTGATTTTTCGTCTCGGGAAAACTTTTCCCCCCTTCGCATGGACTTTCCTTGTTCTCCCCAGCTGTGAAATATTTTAAAAATTGGCGACTTTTAATTCTTCTAACGGCGACAGGATTTGCGAGTTCAGAGTCACTGCTAGGAGGCGGGCAGCCCCAGAAATCCTAAATGAAAATGCCCTTATGCAAACGGATCAGAGGATCGGGCTTGGAAATAATCTGATTTAGACTCCCCCGGCTGAGAAAAATAAATATGACTGTGAAATAGGCAATGGGACTCAATTCAGGCGCAGGAGAATATCAGGGTCCAGCATGGCAGAAATATATATACGTATTTCTTTCTTTTGGTGGGTGGGTGTCCCCCAGAATATATTTCCATTAATGTTGGCCCACAAAGGCATCGACTTATTCCATAAAGCCAAGGGTGATTTACAGCGTGTGAGAAGTGGCTGTTTTGTGGTGGTCCACAAATATAAAGGAGGGGGGGATGTGAAACCAGGCATCTTGGCCATAAAAATAACGGGTCTCTCTCTCTCTCGCTTCCCCATGATCCGCGACACCCCTTCCCCATTTCTGGCATGGCTGGCAAGCCACCACTGGTGATAAGCGGGGCGGTTTGGGGGCCTTGCCATTGGAAAGGTTGGGGATTATGGGTCCGTTCCGAAGCCCAGCTTCGCCTGCCTGCCTTCTCCGGGGGGGGGGGGGGGGGAAGGAGCCCTCTATGAGCCCCATCTCGCCATAAGGGCTGGCTCTATATCCCAAGGCTGTGCCCTCCCCCCCCCCTCTTCTCCAACCACCCAGAAACCGGCGATCCGAGGTCCCTTTACCTGCTCCTTGGCCCTCAAACACGTAGTAGGACATAGCCTCCGGCAGCCAGAGCCTCCTCTGCCGGCAGCAGGCCCCCAGGAACAAAAGGAGAAGGAGGAAGGGGGGGGGCTCGGACTTGGCTGCGCCAATGCACCCCCCCCCCCAAAACGCAATGCAGATGGCCGCCTTTTGCAGCCGTGCCAACTTCGCCCAGCTGGAGGGTGAGGGTGGGTGGTGGAAGGAAAAGCCACACAATGCCAGGCTGGCTTGGAAATGGGAAGCCTTACGCCAAAGGACATCCAGAGCTCATTTAGCCGAGCCCGGACGCTGGAGAGAGGGGTGGGGGAAGCATCGCAGCAAAGATTTGCAGGGATCTCTACCCCATCTGGATGGGGTCCATTCAAGGGGGCCCCAGCACCAGCCTAGCTTAGCCCATCCCAGCCCGGACTCCGAACTCAGCTGTTTTGGGGGCCCTGTAGTAGTATGGGAATACAAAGCCCATCCGTGCCAGAGCCCCTGCCTGGCACCTGGCTGCAGGGACAGGCGATGCCAGCTCAAACATTGGGTGCATTGAGTTTCCGTCTCCTTTGTCTGCTCGGCTGGCCTTGAGCCAGGGTGCCGGAGTGTGCCACGATCACAAAGCAGGCAGAGAAGCTACGATGGGAGGTTGGGGGGTGGTTTTGGGGTACGGTATCATCAATAGGAGGAGAAAGAGGAGAATGAGGAAGAGGAGGAGAAAGAGGAGAAGAAGAGGAAGAGAAGAGGAGAATGAGGAGTGAAGGAGGAGGAGAAAGAGGAAAATGAGGAGAAGAAGAGGAAGAAATGGAGGGAGGAGGAGGACAACGAGGAGGACAATGAGGAGAAGAAGAAGAGGAAGAGAAGAAGAGGAGGAGAAGAAGAGGAAGCAGTGGAGGAGGAGGAGGAGGAGGAGGAGGAGGAAAGCAGCTGGGCTTAAACTGGAATCCACCCAAGCGTTTGAAGGAAGATCCTTCTAGATTTCTATTTTCCCCTTTTCGCATTAGGGATGATCTTCACGTCTTGGAAAGGAAGCGAACTGGATTTCAGAGGCAGCCTGAGTCATCGCTTCCAATGTGGCAGATGGCTGGCTCGACCGGCCTTCCTCCCCACTTCCAAACCCCGTCCACAACGTCGCAATTACTACACACACACACAGAGACCAAAAAGGCAAGACAAAAGGGAATCTTTTGGAAGGGGTGGGTGGGTGGGAGAACTCGGCATTCCTGGGCCAGATGTGAAGGAACAGCTGCGGACTCCGAAATCTAAGTCCGGCTTACAAGCCCCAGCCTTTATTTTTTATTTTTAGCTGGATTTTTCTCAGGGTCATCAGATTTTTGTCTTTCTCCTCCCCCGCCCCCAGGAGTTTGAGGGTGTCTTTGAAATTTCCCACCTGTGAAACGCAAAGGAGCCGATCTCGAGCATCCTTGAAAGCCAAACATCTGGAATAAATCCACCAGACAGATGTTCCCTGGGGAGGTGGGCACAGCGACAAGCATGGATATTCAGTAGGCCTTTGCCAGCTGTCCTTCTCAAAAACCACCGAGGATGCTGGTTTAGGCATTAACCTCTATATTATAGTTTAGACAGTGTTTTTCAAACTTCGCAACTTTTAAAACGCTGGCTGGGGAATTCTGAGAGTTGAAGTCCACACATTTTAAAGCAAGTTTGGAAGGAAAAAATAATCCCCACTGGTTTAGCCGATAGTATGAAACCGAGGGGCTGCCCGTTAATCAGCTTAACCAATTCAAGTTCGAAACCAAACTTTAGAAGAAAACCTGAACCATTTTAGAGAGGCGTTTTTGCAAGCACTATTTTTAAACATCTCTCTCTTCAAATGTTGCCCTGCAAGATTCTCCCTTCCTGGTGTTTAAACAACCAGAGATTTATAAAAAAGAAACTTTAATTCAGCCTTCTTACCATTATTTAGAGGTTGAGACTACAATACCTGTTCAATTCTTGGTAGAATAGATGATTGATTGATTGATTGATTGATAGATAGATAGATAGATAGATAGATAGATAGATAGATGATAGATAGAAGATAGATAGACGGATGGAAGAAAGAGAAAGATGGAAGAAAGAGAGAAGGAAGAGAAAGAAAAGATATCAATAGATAGATAGATAGATAGATAGATAGATAGATAGATAGATAGATAGATAGATAGATAGATAGATAGATGATATAGATATATAGAAGATAGATAGACGGATGGAAGAAAGAGAAAGATGGAATAAAGAGAGAAGGAAGAGAAAGAAAAGAAAGATATCAATAGATAGATAGATAGATAGATAGATAGATAGATAGATAGATAGATAGATAGATAGATAGATAGATAGATGATATAGATATATAGAAGATAGATAG